CCAGGCGGCACTTACCTCAAGCAGCTCCTGGAAGCAGCGGCATGTCCCCCACTCTGGCTCCTATGCTGAGGCGTGGCCAGACGGTTCTGCACGCTGCCTTGTCCACAGGCACCGCCCCCATAGCTCCCATTGGCCATGGTTCCCAGCCAATGGGAGCTGCAGAGCTGGCACTTGGGGCGGGGGCAGTGTGCAGAGCCCCCTGGTTTCCTCTATGCTGAGGAGTCGGAGTGGGGACATGCTGCTGCTTCCAGGAGCCACACAGAGCCAGGGCAGGTAGGGAGCCTGCCTTAGCCCCACTTTGCCGCCAACTGGACTTTTAATGGCTGATCGGAGCCGCCAGCGCCCCTTAAACCAGATACCTGGCAACCCTACTACACAGATGGAGCTCCCTGCTGGGAATCTCTGGCTGGATCAAGGTCCATTGTGCACTACATAAGCAGGGCAAAGGGTACTTAGCAGCCTGGAGAATCCAGCCCAAAGTGGGTGCACAATGTTATCAAGTCACTCTTATACTCGGCCAGATTTTGGGGTGCAGCTGAGCTGCCCTCAGTGCAGGACCAAGGTGGGTAGGAAGGTGTTTACATGATCACCTCAGAAGCCAGCATGAACCACTGGACTTCCCTTGGGTTGTGGGGAGGGGGAATGATGCAATGCAGGTGGATCTTTTTCCTTCCGTCTCACCTGTCCTGCCCCTTTCCCTGGATCTGTAGGGTTTTCATCCCCTCTGCTCATGGAGGCAGAGGGAAAAGTTTGTCCCCCTAATGCTTCATGCTCCCTCATCTCTGCCCAACAAGCTCCTGGGCTGACATCACATAATTTCATCAATTCCTACTGCTCACATTCCCCTTCACCACCCCATCCGGGAGAATTTATCTTAAAATGTGCCCTTCCCTCAGCATTTTGCATAGGCAGGACCAGGAGTTCCCTCCCCTGTGATGCCATCAAATTCTTAAACAGAAGCTCTGGTGGTTTTTTTAAATCTCTGCTTGCAGCAGTTAAGGCATGTCTGGAGGTCAGCACTTCTGTGTTCACATGCGTTCAACTCTCTGCTAGCCAGCATGGGGCTGGATGTGATCTCAGGGGCAGAATTGCTTACACATAAGATGACATCAGGCAAAATCAGAAATCCAAGCACGTCTGTCTGCCAGTGTTGTGTATTTCCATGTCCAAAGACAATCACAAAGTCACTCTGAAGTATTTTCAGTTGCAATCAAGGGAAAGAACAAAAATAAAGTCTCCACGAGAAAGCACGAGAGGATATATCTCCTCTGAAACACTTTGCATTCGCTCGGCCTCTTAAAATGGCAGCTGCCCAGGTAAAGGCAAGTACTGCAGTAGGCAGAAACAAAGTCAGAGCAGTAACACAATCCATGCGCCACAAGTTAAGCTCTGTGGGGTAGATGTTTTCTTTGCAGGCTTTTGCCCTGCTAGATTATGCCAGTCTCTGCACACAGACATTCAAACGCCTATGACTTCACAGTTTCACAGTGCACAGTCAAGAAGAAATGGGAACAGAAGTGTATGTTTTTGCCTCCATTATTTAAAAGCCAGACTTACAGACACAGGGCCAGATTCTGATCTCAGTTCCTCCATTGTAAATTCAAAATAACTCCAGTGGCATTACTCTGGATTTACATCGGGACATGCAAGATCAGAATCCAGCCCTTACATTTTTTCTTATTTCTTACATAAATTCCAAAGCTGTTGAAATGAGTATAGATTGGAAAAGAAGGCTGGTTGATCCATCAAACAACAGTTGCTCTTGTGAATTTTTCCAAGTTGATTTAAATTAGGCTGTAGAATTTATAATTAAAAAGGAAAGTGCAAATTTTAGTCTGTTTTGGATTCAGCTGCAATTAACATCTTTATTACTATGCTGATTTATTCCTGAACAGTCCCCCATTACTAAATGAGAGAGATGAAGTGAAGGAGATAAAAGAGAGTCCTGGTATTTCAATATTTGCTAGGAAATCTTTGCTCTTTTCTTCTAGAAATACTGCTACTGCTTTTCTGTTAATGGGCCAGAGTCTGCTGTCAGTTATGCCAGTGGGATGGAGAACACGATGTATCCCATTGCAAAGAGCATGTTTCAGCAAAGGAGCTCAAAGCACTTTCCCAGTACTAATTATTAATCAATCGTTTATATTTATCGGGAATCAGGGCCCCATTGTGCTAGGAATTGTACAGACGTAATGAAAAAACAATCCATGCCCCAAAAGCTTACAATCTAACCAATGGCCTAGTTCTCCTCTCATTTATACCAGCGTAACTCCATTGCCTTTGATGGAGTTCTTGCTGCTTTACATTGCTTAAAGCAAGAGAAAAACCAGGCAGAAAGGCATATTCTGCCCTTAGCACCCATTTATTGCAGTGGAAATTATGCATCAGTATCTGAGTCCAGAATCTGGCCTTGATTAATTAAAATCTCACACTGCTTCTATTAGGTGGGGTAGGTAGCTCTTTGGGGCAGGGGCTGTCTTTGTTCTGTTTTATACAGTGCTGTGCACAATGGAGTCCTAGTCTATGATCAGGGCACTTAGGTGTGATCCCAATACTATTAATGTAGGAGTGTCTCCATGGTACAGATGGATGATCTGAAGTAAAGAGGGGATAAGTGAGTTGCCTGAGGTCACACAGTAAGTCACAGGAAGAACCAGAAGGTAATTCCAGGAGTTCTGATCTCAACTCCCTGGTCTGACCATTATTCTGTGGGTGTTTTTAATTTTATTTATTTAGATTTAGATACATAAGACACCTATATAACGCTCTAGGCAGCTACCATGTAATTAGTAACACAATACTGTCCTGTTGCAAGGCTCACCATCCCAGACCACCCCCTCATAGCAAGAGCCAGCATTACAGCACTTCCACCTCCTTTTCCCCACAACAATCTTCAGCCACTCCCACTATAGAGGTGGCTTGGCCCCCCAGCCAGGCCTTTTTAAAGCCTTCCAAGATAACAAGAGTCCTTTAGTCCAAATCCAAAAACAGTATCAAAACCAAGAGTCCTCAGCCCTATGGGCTGAGCCTTCAGCTCCTTCCTTACAGGTGGGCTCCCAGTGGCAATAACCTCGCCCCTTGATCCTGGATGCCAATTAACCCAATCATCCGAATCATGTCCTCTCTCCTACTAAAGGTCTCTGACAGGCCATAGCCCTCAGCCACTTGCTAGCTCAAACCCAGCTAGCTGCTTGCCCCACATTACAGCAACCTATCTTATCTCTTCCCCAGCCAGCCCTCGATGGCTGGGCTTTCCTCTTCCTAAGTCCGACACCCCATGCAGCTGTAGTAGGGCACGGCTAACTGAACACGGTGATTGGTCCCAGGCCTCCTGGCACTTAGAGGGGCAGGCTGCCCTGTTACAAATCCCAACAGTATTAAAATAATCATTTCAAACAGGAACTCCGCTGGAATTAAATGTTCTGTCCGAGTTAGAAACCAACAAGCGTGCCTTTTTTTGGTAGTACATTGCATCTACCTGTCTCGTCAATCCACTGCCTCCCACATACAATGTCAGAGCTCTCATTAGGTGGTTAGTGAAAGCGATTTAGTGTCATTTCCTTGAGAAGGAAATAACTCCCTCCACTGTGGTATCTGAGCATGCTGAGTAGTGGCTGGTTCTTGAATTGCACATGGGTCAGCCTGTCTGTTGTCAATTTCACTGGCTTAGCTGGTCAGTGGCTCCTTCAATGCCAAGTGTCTGTCAGGGCAGCTTTGAAAAACTGAGACAAAACAATGTTTTTTGTTAAAACGGATTGCACTTTAGGACAGGACCTGGCTCTGTCACTGACCTGCTGTGCAACCTTCATCAAGTCACTTCATCACCATGCATCTGTGTCTTCTTCCATCCTTTGTGCGTCTCTTACTATTTGCAGATACATACAGTGACTAGCACAGCACCACTGTACTCTAATGAGTTTTAGCCTAATGCTTCTGGACAATCAGTGCTATTCTTTGGGCTAGATTCTCCAGTTACTTGTCCAACTCATTTTTAAATGAAGCAAATGTCTAACTTTTCCTCTAGAAGCTGTGGTACACCGAGTCCCCACATTTCTGGGATACCAAAAATGCCAGCTTTGGATGCATGAGGAATGCACTCTCGGGCCCTTTAAAATCAGCCTGATACCAACACTGCGATAAACTTAGTGCTAATCTTGAAAAGTCCCTTTTTATACAAACACAAACACTCAGATAGAGTAGCATGAGCAGGGAAACAGCACTGGGTGCTTTACCGAAAATGAGCTGCCTTGAAATGGAAATAATGGGCATTAATAAGGTTGGTACTAAAATATTTACCCTGCTTTCCAAGTGGAGTTCCCTTTGTGTGAGCTAAGCGGTTATTCCATGTTGTCAAGAGTTGATGTCATAGAAAGGTTTGTTGCTACAGTAAGGTTAAATACACTTGACAGAGTGAGGACTCTGCTACAAAAGAGAAAGGCAGAGTGTTATATTACGAACTTAACTGCTGTTAACAGTGAAGATGAAAAATATTACCTTTCAGAGAGGCAGTGAGACCTAGTGGCTACCTACTAGACTGCGAGTCAAGAGATCTGGTTCTGTTCCAGCATCTACCCCTAGCTTGTTGGGTGACCTTGTGCAAGACCCTTCATTCTTCTCTGCTTCAGTTTCCACATTCATAAAATGAAGATAATGCTATTTACCTCCTTTAAAAAGTGCTTGGAGATCCACAAATACAAAGTGCTATATCCGAGTGTATCATCTGTTTAGCTTTGAGCCACTCATTGATCCCTCTCGTTTTGAATCATACATTTGTAAAATCATAGGCCAGACTTTCACTTTGTCATATTGTTTTTACTAACACAGAAAATGTTATGCAGACTGACACACTTTTTTATACACCTAAATTGATTTGTGTAACGTTTTCCCAGTTGTCTCTGCATGAGGAGGAATTTTCACAGGCAGAATGGAACTGCCAATATAATAATAGACTCGAGAGGGCACTGTTGTTAAAGAGAAAGCGAACCTCAGCCTGATCTCTGCTGAGCAGAGGAGACCAATAAAAACAGTATTAATTTACAAAATCACAGCAGATACGGAGGACTGGGAAAACGAGGGCCTCTTGGAGATTTTAGAACACCTTGAAAGGTAAGTCTAAGCATCTGCTGATGGCTCTGCCACGCTGTATTCTGATGTACACAAGGTGTTGGGAACCTGTATTTTTCATGTTGTATTTCAGATTGCAGAACTCAGAGGTCCCTGTGGCATCCCAGCAAACAAAACAGACCATGAAACATCAAGAAATCACATAATTAGTTCATGTTTGTATAGGGCGTTGAGCAGGCAAATTGCCAGGTAGGTGCTAAGTGCTACAGACATTTATGGGATATAATGCAGAACTGTTATATAATGCTGGGTTTGGGGGGTTGGGTCTGGTGCATAGAGGTGCATTAGTGAGGCGAGCTCAGAAAATGATTATTCTTGTGTTCGTTTTCTATTGTGCCTTTTCTTTTTAAACAAAAGGACGATAACAATTTATTATTATTATTCCTTGAGCACCCAGCGAGTGCTGGGCGATGTACAATGCAGAGAAGCAAGCTCTGTGCTGAATGAGATTGTTGCCTGCACAGAAAGATGACACACTGGGAGACTTGGAGGAATATAAGAACTGCAGTGACAGAGCAGACCAGTCCTCCGTCTAGTTCAGCATCCTTTTTTGGACAGTGACCAGCACCAGATGGAAGGGTCCAACCTATCCCCAAGGAAATTTCCTCCTCATCCCCAGTCATTAGAAATTGGTTTAAACCCTGAAGCATGAGGGTTTAGATCCCTTCCAAAACTCTTAGTCTTTGTTCATTTTGTATTTACTATTCTAATTCTGGATGTTCTTATTCATATAAACACCCTGTTCCTTCTTGACTCCTGCTAAACTTGTGACCTCAGTGCTATCTTGTGGCAATGAGTTCCATAGGAAAACTATGCAGTGTGTGTGTGTGTGTGTGAATATTTCCTTCTATTGGTTTTGCATGTGCCACCTTTCAGTTCTGTTGACTAACATCTTAGCAGGTTATGTCTTAAAAGAGGAATATCTAAGCTGAGGATGCAGGGACGTGGGCACCAGCACAGTATCCAGAATGGAAACAAATATACACTAGAGAGGTTATTGGCATCTATAAATCCTGTCTGCCACAGCATCTGCCAAACTTTTTGGAGACCAGCCTTCTGAGCTCCTAGTCCGCTCTGCATACAATGTCTGCATTTGTGCTATTGTGACAGCATTTTGGGAAGAGTTTGATTGGTTCATCTGTGTCACGTGGTGGTTGAGCACTAGGTAATGCGGACATTCCTGGGATTCGTCTTTATTTAACAGTTGGCAGATCTCTGTGAATCCTGAATGAGCACCTTCATCAGTCTCTTAAATAAATTAAGAAAATCTGCCCTACTTGAGAAATCTCCTAGACTTTACTCTGTAGTTGTGAAGCCTTTTGTTTTTTTCCACCCCACTCCTAGCCCAGTTTAAATCAGGAGAACACTGCTGAAATTCAGCATCTGTTTCCAAAAAAATGAAGGCACAAAAGAGCCATTAAAGACACCAAACATGCAAATAATTGAATGTTTTCATATGCAGAAGAATGGCTGCTTTTAGTAACTCATCACAGAGCACGATGGCATTAGAGGTTATGGAATGAGAGCCTCCCAACACCATCAATAAAGGGAAAAGATCCAAGAAGTAAGTTAAACAGTGCTTCTGCAGCAAAGCTAACTTGAATATAGCCTTTCATTCAGCCTTCCCCATGCAGTTTCAACTTCATTTTCCGTTTTTTGATCAATGATGGCACTGGTATTTTTTGGCTTCTTTTCAAGAGTTTATATTTTTGTTTTATAATTTCCTTAAATAGCTAATTTCCTACATGAGTTGACGGCCACTTGGATCTGCCGGAAAGTTAGTTGTAATGCTGCTGTACCTGGGCTTGATTCCTTTTCTCTTTTCCGGCACCGTTAGAGAGAGAGAGAGAATGGTGAAACCCACCCAGGGGCACATTCTGTGTAGATACGTAACATCTCAGCTTTATGGGAAATGCCAGAAGACAGATCACATAGCAAAGGGGGTAGACTCAAAGTGCTTGAGAATTGCCAGATCTCTATTCTATTCTATTCTATTCTATTCTATTCTATTCTATTCTAATACAATGCCCATCACCATGGTATCTGAGTTCAGTACACCTGAAAGTGTGGAGGGGGTCAAGGCAGCTCTAAGCCACCTTTCCTCCTCCCCCCATTCTGTAGGTGGCCCCATATGCTTCTCTAACTTCTGCCAAGTAATAATGATTCTGCAAGGAAAGTAATGCCAGTGTATTCCTTCATCTAACCCTCAAAACACCCCCTCCTGCCGCTGACACACTTCTCCATCAGGAAGCCAGGAGGCAAAGTTGGCAATGCTGGTTTTATAGCAGCAAATAACATCCCATGCTGGAGAAACCCCCAGCACCTCCTTAAGTGCAGCTTTAAGATCATTTGGCAGCTGTGCAAAGATGCTGTAATATAGGGCAGGATCTGGTCCCAGTTATATAAATTGTACTTTATTTAGATTTCCTTAAAATAAGTGGTTGATAAATGATTCCCAGTCACATTTTGGTCATATTTTACTAAAGCTAATGAAAAAAAACAGATATGTGCTAAGTATCTTGCAGAATTGGGGCCTGTGTGTTGTCATTGCTCTTGGCACTGTAAAACAAAGAGGAAGGTAAAGTCCCTGGTCCATGGGCTGTGCAGTATAAATGGACAGAAAAGACAATGAAGATACTTACCAAACAGAATTTATTCTAGCATAGAATTACAGCATTTCTAGTCTAGGGGCCCAGGCCTGCAAGTTTATTCACACGAGCTGTCCTGCTAATGTACGGAGCTCATTAATGGTCTGATCCTGCTGCCACTGTATTAAAACTCCCATTGACTCCAGCAGCGCACAATCAGGCACTTAGACCATGCAACATCAAGTTCACAGGGAAAATTTGATCTGCAGGTAGCATGAGTGAGCAGAGCTCCTTTGGTATCAATGGAGCTATCCCAATGGACATCCTCTAAGAATCTGGCAATACAAGCCTAATTCTAAACGTCTTATCTAATCTTTACTCAGGCAAATCTGCCATTGATTGGGCCCCAAGAATTTACTGCAGAACTAGAGAAAAATTAGCTTTCAAATGACATATGGCATTTCCGTATGCAGTGTTGTTGTAGCCGTGTTGGCCGAAGAATATTAGAGCCTAAAGTTTACTACTAGGTAGGATCTGAGACCTTTATGTTTCAGTAAATCCACAGGATCACGACACTTGCTTATTTCCAGCCAAGTCCTTTCTCAGGGTGATCCCCTCTCCCCAAATCATCCTATCCAGGAGTTGGAAAAGTCTATGGGGCTTGGCCACATGTGCATCCCTGCTCTCTGCCTCCTCTGTCATCTTCTCGGGCCTGCTCCATCTGCACCCTCTACCCCAGCGCAAACCTTGGACCCACAGAGAGGCCTCCCAGGAGATGATGTGGTGCGGGCAGCTACAGCCATGGTCAATGGTACTACAGCCACAGTCCCACAGACTGGGGAGAAGGATCAATGCCTGGAGGATGCCCCCCCTCACCACATACAGTTCTGTATTGGGGAGATTTGGCCTGTGTCCTTATTCTGGTTACTCATTCAATGCCATTTTGGCCTAAGTAAAGGCTGGATTTCACCTCCTCCCTTTCTGTACAATGTGCCAGTTGTCACCTCCATACCCTGTCTCACTAGACACTAGGCAGGGTTATCAGAAGAGCTGCGTGTGGTCTGGGCCAGTGTAGATCCAAGATTGCTCCTGGAGGATTTGAGGTTTGAAGATAATGGGGCAGAAATGAGCATGCGGGTGATTTCATTTTCCCAATACCAAAGATGTCTAAAAAAGCGCAGGTTGGCAATGAAATCTTTGTGAAAGTCACAGGGCTGTAGCATCTGCACCTGAACTCACAGCAGACGAATGGCTGGAGAAAACAAAACAATATGGAAGATAATAATGGACGTGGGAAATTGCCTGCAGTTGTCCACGGCCTAAAAATTACTACTGGCCACTGACTGAAAAACTGAAGATGAGAAAATCTGTGGGGTAAGTATGAACCTGCTTGGCCACTGTGGCTCTTGGAAACTGTCCCTGGAATAGAAGCTTGAAAGTTTTACCTTCCACTTAATGTACAGTTTGTCTCTGAGAAGTGACTCGCTGAGCTAGAAGCAGGAGGTACCATGTTTATTGTGCCACCATGATTTCATGGCACATCTGCTGATTAAGGACCTTCTCATATCCTTACTCACACTGAGATGTAAACCACTCCATGATATTTCCACTGACTTCAAAATATATAGGGCCATATTCTCAGCTGGTGTAAATCAGTGCTGGTTGATTGAAGTCAATAGTACTACACTGACTTATACCAGCTTATGATCTGGTCCACTAGGCCAGGCACTGATTTCATTTACATCAGAATAGATGTGGAACCATTCCACAGGCTCAGATTGATGTAAATGAGCTCAGAGTTGGGCCCATTTTTCATGTATTTATCTGTAGTGCTCATATAAAAGAACAAGATGGAAAAAATGTATTGGAGAGCTGATGCTCAATGACAGTAAATCTGACTGGGGATTCAACACGTAGCCTGCGTGACCGAGCAGTAGCCATTGCCTGGTCTATAATCAATAATGGCTGAAGAACAGGGCATTTCTTATGGCTCCATGAATGGCTGAAAGGAGTTGATTTGCTGAGGGGCAAAGCTATTATCCACAGCTGGTCATTTATCCCCAGAGAATTAATCCCTTCACCTTGGCTGTCTTTGCTGTTATAAGATGATGACAATGAAGGACAAATATAGACACACTGGGCCAGATTCACCCATGGTGTAATTCCATTGAAGTTGGAGAACAATAAGGAGGTGCACATAATTTGTTGGGCAACTCTGGTTTAGGACTAGACTGTGGGTCAGATCCTCAGCTGATATAAACAGGCATAGCTCCATTTAGGCACAGCTCTGAGCAAACAGCAGTTCATAAATTGCACCACTTCAAGAGTAGCCCCAGCTTCCTTTTACAGTAGGGTTGTGGGGGCAGCAGAGGTAATTTTCTGGTGCTCTATACCTGCACCAGATTAAACGCCCTCCTTATCCTTCCCCCCTCTACAATGGCCAGCGACAAAGCTGCATATGTGTGACCCCATTCCTCACCCTTCCTCACCTACTCCTGTCTATCTGCTTTACAGAGGGAGTAAGCAGGTGTGTAGCCCGGATTACTCATGTACAATTGGATCCAGAATCCGAGTGATGCAGGAGGGGTTCTTACTGCCTTTTACTGCATATGATCCAAACCACCATTATAACTGGGTGGGAATTTTCCATCAAAGTGTTTGTTTGTTTTTTTTTGCCCCCCCAGAGCAAATGCAGGTTCCACAAAATTGAAATTTTCTATGGGCAATTTTTGTTTTTGCCAATTTTTAAAAAAAATTCTGTCAGAAAAACAGAAATGAAATATTTCTATTCAGCTTGGGTTGATGTTACGCTATTATCCACCTGAAGTTTTGCATGCCGCCATTCTCTTCTATGGATCAGGCCACTGGTTGGACTATATCTCCCATGATACCATGCAGTCTCCTCTCTGGCTGAACCTGCTGTGGTACATCAACCCAGTCCCATGAGGTGATGGGAAAATGTAGTCCAGCCAGGGAATCAATCCCATAGAATAGTATGGGGACACGAGGCACCCCAGCTACAAACTCCCATGATGCACTGCAGCAACTCAGGCAGCCACAGTTCAAAGCTGAAATGAGTTGAAAGAAAATATTTGACTGTTTTCAATCAAAATTTGAATCAGAATCTTCCGTTTGGTGAAAAGTTTTGGTATTTTGACATTTCAT